TTTTTTTTTGGTAACAGGGGTTTTTGTTTGGGCGCAGGGGTTAGGGAAACAGCCCTGCCCCCCCCCCCCCCCCCCGTCCCCTTTTGCCCACATACTTTGGTAAACAGGTTGTCGCGCCGTCCGACGTGTCTTGTCTTTGGGTGTTTATCTTTATTGTAGCATGGGTGTTTGTTTGGCGTACGGGCTACGGCAACAGTGCCTGTCAGTCCCCCCCCCCCGTCCACTTTTGCCCACGTGTTTTTGTAAAGTCGTCGCACCGCCCGACGTGTCTTGTCTTTGGTGTTTTTTTGTACGGGCTATGGCAGCAATGCTTGGCATTGACCCCCCCCTTCCCCACGTTTTTTGGTGTAAAACGTAGCTACACTGTGCTGTGTGCGACTGGCGTCGGTGACCTATGTGCTCCAACGTGGTGCTTTATCCGTCCGGGTACCCCTCCTGTACCCGCGCAGGCTGCTTCGGTAATGATTGAATTTTGATTTTACCGGTACGCCGGGGAACAACGGTTGCATTGTGGGTCGTTGTCAGGGATCGACTCCCTCTTGAAGCCTTCTACAATCCACATATCCATACCCCAAGTATCTTGGTGTGGACATGTGCAACTTCATACCGTTGGGTAAATAGTCGACATTTGGACCGTCTTGAGCGTCTCATCAACCTTCCAGAGGTGTTCATGCGTAGACGACTGCAGACGATTGCAGTTGAGAAAAAGACCTGTCTTGCAATACCACCTCCGATCTGTGCGACGACCTACACCGCATGCCTCCCAAGCCGCAAGGACAGGTACATGGAACAAATATGCATGCATACCAAGAACGCCGATTGCACATGGGACGGGGGGGGGTTCTGCAGTGACAAATATTGCTGCCGTACCCGAAAACAACGTCACGTACGCCACAATATAATGACCAACCGAAGAGAACACAGGCTGAAGGCACAACACAAACAACCAGATGTGTGCAGCGGACGGGGGGGGGGAGGGGTGGTGGCAATGAAATTCATTGCTGCCGTAACCTGCACCTTAAAAGAAAGTCACGCATGCCACAGCATCATGACCACCCCAAGAGAACACAGGCCCAAAGGCACTACAAAAAAAACGCATGCGTGAAGGGGACGGGGGATGGGGGGGCTATGAAATGCATTGCCTGCCGTAGCCTGCACCCAAAAAGAAGTCACGCACGCCACAACATCATGACCACCCGAAGAGAACACCGGCCCAAAGGCACAACAAAAAAAACACATGCGTGAAGGGGACGGATGGGGGGGCTATGAAATGCATTGCTGCCGTTGCCTGCACTATAAAAAAAGGCACGCACGCTGAAACCTCTATGCAAACAGCACGCCGGACTACATCACCTAGAAAGCCAGACAATGTCCTTGTGCTTCTTGCGGTACGCGAAGCTCGTAGTAAGCTTCCTCTTGCGCTCCCCGTGCCCTGCCTCTACTTGCTCTTTGTCGTTGGTGTCCTTCGCCCCAACAGAGCTAGAGTCCGCCTCCGGCTCGGTCGCCAACGTGGTCCCCACCCCGGCACTGCTGACCCATTGCGTGTTTTCCACCAGCTCGTCCATTCCGTCGAAGGTGTGCAGCATGTTGTGCAAGATGCAGCACGTGCAAAACACGTTGTCGATGCGCTCCTGCTCGTGGTACGCCATGGCGAGCTTCAGGATCCTGAAGCGGCCTTTCAGGATGCCGAAGAAGCATTCCACGTCCTTCCGCACGCTCTCCAGCCTCTTCGAAAAGAGGAGATCGTTCTCGCTCAGCGGGTACTTGGTGGGCTCCCATCAGGATTTGCCACTGCATAAATAAACGACGAGAGGGGAAGGGAGAAGGGGAGGAAGGTTTCGATTCTTTGCTGTTATCAAGCTACGAAAATACAGCTCTCGGAGCTTCTGAAAGGCGGGGGAGCAGGGGCTTCGGTGTCGAAGGGAGGTGCGACAAAAACACCAATGAAACACCTCACGTAAACTTCAAGGGCAGGCGACCGAGGTTCTGCTTCCTTTCCGTTTCGGATTTCAGCACCATGAACGATTGGCGATGAAAACGTCCGAAACTGTCTGTGTGATTTCCCGAGATCAGAAATACTTCACTCGGCAGCGCTCTCTCGATCTCTCCCTCTCGTTCTCTGTCTCTCCATCTCTCTCTGTCTCTCTCTCCCTCTCAGGCCGGACACATACCTCTTCCAAAACACTACCGTTGGGCACCAAAAATACGACGCGTTCTATTCATTCACCTTGTGGTACCCGTTGTCGACGAGCAAGTAGCACCCCTTGAGCGTCGTCGTCGTGCCATCCTCGTTGTACACGTCGAAGGTTTTCTCTGTGTACTGCTTGTCCGTCCGAATTTTCTCCACCGCGGCATCCCAGCAGACGATGGTCTTGTCGTTCGTCGAGCCGGTGAAGCCCTCGGTCACGGCACTTGCACGGCCAGCGTGATTAACCGTGACCTGGTACCCGATCGTGGGAACCCCCTCCTTGCCCGTGTACGAACGGGGTAAGTTGTAGGGGCACTTGTTCCAAACGATATGAGTTACATCCATGGACCCCATCGCGCCCGAAAAGCCAAGCCGGTCGTACTGCTTCATGACGTGGTCCAGCTCGCCGTTCTGTTCCGACGGGAGGTAGATGTGTTCATCGTACATTTCCCGTGCGAAGTGCTTGCAGAACATGTGGAACATCGCCTGCACGGTCGCAGCGCTCATCCACGACATCTGGTATATGCTTGCAAAGCAGTTGCCCCGGCCGAGTATGGTCAGCCAGGCCAACACCTGCACCAGCAAGTGCAACAAGGAACGTACACACGGGATACAGCGGTTCTATTAGTGATGTGGTGTGGTTGCCTGTACTGTTAGCCGTGCGGAAGCATCTCACGGGCGGGAGACTGAGTATTGTGCCATGCGTTAAACAACTCAACGACTGTGAGTTAAGCCTATTCAGCGATGTCGCGCTGACTGGAGGACTCGTCTCCTGCGATATCTCGGACACCAGTTCAACCCAAGGTGACGAAACAACGGCATAGCAGTGTATGTAGAAGAAGTGTATATGCTGCTATGGACGACAGCAGAGCGACCGCGGGAACTTTTTTCTAGATTTGGAGAGCTCGGCCACCGGTCACCAAGCGCGTCTCGGCTAGGACGTACCACGGGAGACGGCATGCAGCTGAACAACAGTGCTAAAAATGCGCATGGTTCCTCCGCGTGATTAACTCTACACTCCATCAGCAGAACTCCCCTTCTTGTAGGCTATGGACAGAGCGTCTGTACCGTAACATTCCAGAATGCTTGTGCTCGACTGCTGCATGCGGAAGCACTGGTGCTCGACTATTGTACTGCTGTATGCATATGCGGAAGCACTGCTGTAGTTCCTCCGCTTGTATCAACAGCACTACAGCAGTATGTACAGCAGCTTCTTCTAGGTATGGACAGAGTCTGCACTCGTACGAATCTGACATACATGCCGTCAGTTTACCTTGTGCTCCACTGGGTGGCTTTGCCGACCTGCTGCATCGCAGCCCGCAGTGGCAAACCAGTTCTTGCTCTTGACCAACGCCACGAGCCGCAGGAAAAATGCGCAGGGGACGCGGAAGTCAAGGCGAAACTGCTTGGACGTTCTGCTGTTGCTTTCCTCGAGGTCTTTATCCTCCAACATCCGTGCCCAAGCGCACCTCTCCACATATTTCCTCTGTCGCTGCGTTCTTGAGAGTCTAGGGCGGGTAAGGTCGGGGGCAGTATCCTCTTCCTCTTGCGACAAGTCGTTGCGTTGGACCTCATCGAGGGCCACCAAGGCCACCGCAAGCGCGGTCGCTGGCAGCAGGGCATCATCACCCACGCCGTTCTCGGCCATAGAAAGAGAGCCCAGTCTGCCGATGTAGGGTGGAGTCAAGCAGGTGTCACTCCTGCTGCCTGCAAGCAGCGCCAGCGATGGCAGCCACTTCCACATTGGTGTGCTTGTGTGTGTGTGTGCCGTCGGCGTTGGCGCGCGATCAGAAAAAAAGAAAACATTTTTGGACAGCCTCCACTTGTCCAAAACTGCCCCAAAAAAGACAGGATGGGCTGTCCAAAACGGGTTGTCTTTTTTTGTTGGTCTTTTTTCCCTGAAAAAAGAAACCGTAAGAAGATGTTCTTTGGCGAGTTGTCTTTTTTTGAGAAGGAATAAAGAAAAAGACAGCCCCAAAAAAGAACCGTAAGAAATGGCCTAAGAAATATAAATATGAAAAAAAAAAAAAACGGGCCGCTCGATCGGACCTGCGAGGCGGACTGCCAACAGGTCCGGCCGACGCCACACATCTCACGCTGTGGGGAACAGGGGACGGAGACGCAGAGACGCCATCGGTCTCCGGCTGCCACCGGTTCGCCAGCGCGAGGAACGTAATCGCTGTGCATGTCAAAGCAGACTCTAACTTGTACGTGTTTGGCCGCTCGGGTTCATCGAAGCGACGAGCTGTTTTTATCCCGATGTACACACGGACAAGTAGACACCCGCTCGGCAAAGCGTGCTTTCCGAAACAAAGCAATTGCAAGAGCACGACTTCAGCGAAAAACTTTTGTAAACCCCCGCACCTATTTTGCTCGTGATGGTGCCCGGAAAAAAGAGCCAACGACAAATTAGAAAACCTGCAAGCGCATTATCAGTACTAGAGCCGGCCCGAGGGGGGGGGACTAGAGGATGCACTCACTACCACAGGGGAGAAAAATCACCCAACGCACCACGTACGAGACGCCAATCCACGCACCACGCACAAACCCCTGCTCGCCCGAGACTACTAAATAATTTTCTCTTCGACGAGCAACCGCAAGGCTTGTCTGAGACCATCAGCAAAAATACCGAAGCCTCTTTGAAGTCGCCATGATGAATCTAATCTATTCGACGTTCATACTATGGTCCACCGAGACACGCAGCTACGCGCTTCAGTTCTCGGGGATACAGTTGCCGAAAAAATATCGAACCCCGCCAGCTCATGCTCCAAAACTCTGTCTTCTTTCACTCAATGTTTCCGCTGCCAACCCGGCAGCAGGTTTGAAGCACTTGCGAGCAGTAGTGCAATGCGAAATTCTCTCTTTCGTTTCGACAGGAAACGATGTTGACAGCAAAAGGCTCTCTATCTTCAGGCGGGCTAAGGCTCGCGATAAACCCCTAGCGTCCGACTCACATGATTAACGAGATCCCACACGACGTGGAAAGGCCTCACAGGAACGTGATTCGAGTGTCACAAACTCCCGGATTTTCCGAAGGTAAAGGGGCAGTAGACCGGCGTCCAGATCTAGCGGGATGGGAAGAAAAAAGAAGGCGGGCGTTTCAGATTCGCGCCGACCGGGTTCTGATGCTGAGTAAGAAAAAGACTCGCAACGACGCGTTGTCAGCAGAACGAACGAGAACGAAGACGGGTGCAAGCCATTTTGAGTCGGCCCCTTCAGAAAAAAAATAGTGAACGATACAAAAAAGAAAATAAAAACAGTGTCGATTAACTCAACGACAGACGTACAAAGGGTGCTAGCCGCGGACACGCAGCCCGAAGTTTATCGGCCGAAATGGTGCCACCTCGCTTCCCTTTCGCTTGAAAAAATGTTCACGATTGCGATATTGGTGATTTTCATTCCTCACAACAAGTAGTTGACTATACGAGTCTTCACCAAGGCTGTGCGCGTGTTTTTTTCAATAAAGATAGCCTCGGGCCTCGTCTGAAGTTCACTTCTTCGTTCCCAACCCCCCGCCTCGCGAGAGAGGCAAGTAAGTGTAGGTAACTGATAAAAATGAGAAGGTGGCGAGAACAGGAGGGTGGAGTTTACAACGAAAAAACCTACACGACGACGATCACAAAAACAAGGTTAAACGAGCCTCCCTCGAGGCTCGTTTCTATTGACTTGTTCTTCTTTCCCGCAAGTTAGCATGTGAGTGTTGCTTCGTCCATTCGAGACTCTGGCGCACACCCTTTCGGTGTATGTTTGCAATACCAGCCGGGGTCACACAACACAGAATTGTGGTATTGTTTTTGGTGCTTTCTCCTGCCCGCCTTTCCTCGTCGGTACTACAGTAGTCTTCAGCAGTGTATGTGCGATGTTTCGGTTCGAACATTGCAAGTTTTTTCACCGCGACGAGATTCGAACCCACAAGATACTTTCAGGAGAAGAGAGGAGGTTTACGAGGTTTCACCATCTGATAAAAAGGATGCGTTCTTGCCTCGGCGATGGTTTGAAAACAAATACTTCGAAGTAGATTTATGGCGGGCGTAGCAGATACCCTGATACTACTGAAAAAAACCCCGATGAATACATACGTGGGGAGAGGGACAAGAGGCGTTGGGGAGAAATTGCGGTTTCTGTTCACTGAAGCGGGCTACTTGACAGCGAGAAGTGACGATCTCTGCTAACAGGCTTTGGCACACGTAGCATAACCTGGACGCCACTCGATGCCAATTTCGTCAGTAAACTCGTCGGGCTGCCCGGTGGCGGCCTACAGCAGTAGACCGTGCAATTTAGCTGCAAATTCGAGAGTTCGAATCTCGGCAAGAAGCATGTCTCGGGCAATCTCCACTTCACGCACACAGCACGTTAAATATTGAGCGTTTGTTTGTGGATTCCGCGTGGGGTTAAGGAAGAACACTCACAGTACTTGCAAAAAAAAACAAAAAAACACGCGCGGATCTCATCGATCTCCTGGCAGCACCGCCTGGCCCTTGTGTTTGCTGCTCCATTTACCGCTGTTGCTGCTTCCCTTGACTACTGCTCGCCTCCCTTGCTTTTGCGAGGGGCGGTGTGCTTGCTGATATGCAAAGATAGGCTTCCTTCTACAGCACACCTTCCTAGCATAGCATACAGAGAGATGCACAAGACGGCTACCAGACTGTCTTGTTGAGCCTGCCCACAGGGGAGATATCGCTGTGTGCTGCTTGGGAAATCGTACAAAGATAGGTAGCTTCCGCTGACGCTATGAATTCATTGCTAATCTATCCTATTAGACTCTTTTCTATGGATGGAGATGGATTCGTTGTGCATTCAGATAAAAAAAGATAGACCCACATTAGAGATAAAAGAACCTCTGGTACGTGATCTACAAGTCCAAAATCATAGTCGCTGCGTCAAGCACTACCAACGAAAAAACTAGATACAGCACTCATTTTTTCCAGTCGTATGACATACACAAAGCCCGGACCTATTTTCAAAGCTCGATTACTCCACGGACGAAGAGGATGCAAAAAGAAACGATACGTTTTCGGAGAGCTCTCAACCAGGAGGCGGCTTCAACGCCGCAGGTTTTGGCACTGGGACTCTTTCTGCTGTTGATGAATCGAGCTTTCAAAATCGGTCCAGGGGGTGTGCTATCTTGTGTCTGATACGGTTGTCCACTGCCTGCGTATGTAGCATAAGTTGAACTTGAACGCACCCATGCACATTTACCTGTTGAGATTGTTGTTGAGGAAACAGGCAGACAGCCCCGTGTGGACGTGAGGTCTCATGTTGCTGTGGGCGTGTGATATGCACCGACTGGTTGCAGCTCCCCGGGCTGCAGGGATGAGTGGCGGCTCGAATGGTGCACGCGTGCACGCCCCCAAAGCGGCGCAATTGTCAAACTATGCATTCGGTCAACACGTCTACTGCTGTACACCTGGTCTGCACTCCGGGAAAAAGGCGGCAAGAGACGCGGTTGGAAAATCTGTCTCGCCGCCTTTTTCGTGTCCCCCTTCGGTTGCCAACAAGGCAACCGCTCTAACACACGCTAGCGTTGTGGTGCTGCTCTGTGGCAGAAGGAAACACGATAAACTGACGGTTGGTGCCACATTATTCTACAAAAGAAGCTTGAGCCGTTATTGCGAACCAACACACCTGTAATGTCACACAGCAGACGCCGAGCCAAAATTAGCACTGCTGTCACTTGCTTGCCGCTTGTCTTTTGCCGGACGCTTCTCGAGCTGGCCACCACTCGACCTCTTTATCAGTCTTCCCAGGAGTAGTGTTTGCTCTGGTGTTTACACATTGATAGTAGATCTAGGACTAACGCGTGCTGATTGGTCGGGCGTTGTTCGGCGTTGGTTCTGGCGGACGATTCCTCTCCAGCGCCCTCTCCCCGTTCCGCATTCCGAGCACCGCGCGCGCGGCGCAGCCGCGTGCGTCAGTTCGCGGCCGCTAGGCCGTGCTTTGGCCGCGGTTGAGGGTTAGGGTTAGGGCTCCTTCCCAGTCAGTACTCGCTCGTCGTCTTGATTGAATGGAAGGTATATATGTACGTCTGCACCGACTCATGTCTCACTTGTCACCCAAAAGGCAGATACGGAACATCGAATATTCTTGGTTTTGTGGAATATGGTACTCTTTGCGATGACTTGCCGAAACGTTGGCATATCCTGGTTCCGGTACAAGTCTCCGTTCCGGATTTTTTCAGCGGACGATTCGAGATTCGAGCGACTCGCCGGTTTCCAGAGGGGTTGTGCGCCTAAAAGGCAGCATCTCCTCCTGTTTGTGTAAGGTGTGGAAGACACGCGCCTCGTTCACCTCTCGAGCGAGAGAAACTACATGGGCGGAACAGGATGTGAAGCGGCGAGGCGTCGCATATCTCCTGTGGTTGCACCCAGTCTTTGTTCGGCCTCCACACATATCTGTTGGCTGGCTCTCTTCTGCGTCCAGGCCTTAGGTGTACAGCAGGCCGGGGTACTCACTAAAGACTACATGCAACATACGAAAGTGGATATTTGCTGCAGTGCTGCTGCAATGCCGATCATACAAAAACAGAATCGCACACATGAGCCTCCGCCTGACTCTTTATGTGGAGTCAAGGGCGAGCAAGAGTTTACCTGGAAAAACAGTGTGGCGCTCGACCGTGTTTTCGTCAATCTCAGCGTCGTTCTATTCAAACGCTGCTTCGTATATACAACAAGTGTATTGTGCTAGGGCCGAATACTTCGCCACCCCCTCCCCCCCAAAAAAAAAAAAAAAAACGATCTTGTTGAGCCTGTTACCCACAGCGGAGACATCGCTGTGTGCTGCTCGGGAAATCGTGGAAATACGTATATACAGGTAGCCTTCGCTGACGCTATGGATTCATTGCCAATCATATCTTGCTTTTCTTCGATAGAGATGGATTCCTTGGGTCATGTCGAGAAAATAAAATAAAAATACCACAGACGAAAGAGAGAGATCTTCGGGAACTGCTGTCACGAAAAAACAAAAAAAGGAGGTCCACCAAGCGGACCCTAAAATCCAACCATCACGAAAGAGTAAGAGTATGATCTCGGCTGGCCCTCCGGCGCCAAAACGGCTCAAGAAGGTGTTGCTCCACCCTTACTTCTCCACTTCCCACGCAAAGATGGCATGCTGACACGCAAACGAACACTCACTTGATGAACGAAGACGCTCGGTTCCACCTGTGTTTACAAAAAAAACGGACTCACCAAGATCGACCCAACGACACGTACGTTCACAGAGGCAACAGCACACACGTTCGCCTCTGTTTCCATCCACGGATATCAACGCTGTACGGATGCCCAACCACATGCGCACTGCTACACCAAAATGTAGGAACGCATGCGTCATCATCAAAAACTGGTCAGGACTTTTCTTGTCCTGCCACCGAGGTTGCCGTTGGTGCTACAGTACATCATCCTGCTTCTCACGGTACTCTTTGATGACCGCTTGCTCCATTCGTCGGAGGCCTTCCATCAGCATCTCTCGCGGACACGCAAAGTTGATCCGCACGTACCCCTCCCCGAGGAAACCTTTCCCGTCCGTGAGCCCCACGCCCGCTCGCTCGAATTCCAATGCCGGGCTTTTCCAGCTGAACGAACACCAAACACGGGACACAGGAAAGACAAGGAGAAAAAACAAGCGAAATAAATTAAGACGTCGAAAGCGGGAGGTGAGTCCATGGAGGGGGCACGGGTGGACATGCATTGGATCACGACCGATCTAAATTCGTTGCGTAAGGTTCTTCAGGACCTGTCAACACCGATGGTTGATGAACGAGCTACCGGGGTTACCGCTGCACGAGGCACAACCCTATACTTGACCTGACCAGAGATGGCCAACGCAAGAAATACAAATCCGCAGACCATCACAACAAAAGGCCCACGCACGACGCCAACGAAAACCGTGTGCGGGTAGTGTGCGGGTAGCCCGTACCGCTCACCCCAGCTTCGTCACGTCCACCCAAGCAAGGTACGTCGCTTCCATAGGGTCCATGCGGAGCTCCGGCAGCTTCTCCTCCATAAACGCGTACAAGGCGGCTCGATTTCCCCTCAAGTGCTCAAGCAACGCCTGTCGCCACGGCTCCCCCTCGGTGTACGCAGCCTCGCAGCCAACGTAGCCCAGCGGAGAGTTGAGGCCGATCCAACCCGCTGCCGCTCTCTCGAAGCCCACTCGCAACTTCTTGTCGGGGATTATCGCGTAGCTGCAGCCGAGACCTGGAACGTTGTATGTCTTACTCGGCGCGTTGAGCAAGATGGTCCGAGAGGCAAAGCGCTGCAGGTTTGCAGAAAACAGAAAGAAAAACGGGGTAGATGGGGGGGGGGATTGGGTTCTACTCGCCTCACTCCTTTCACGGTTGATAGGGAGAACGATCTTGATACTCCAGCCAACCGCGCGGAGTCCCAAGGATTCCGTTGGTTCCGACCATGGTACGAAAAATAGACGCTCATTGTCAAGCACGCGTAACCTCCACAGATCCGGACGGAATTCGCTCGCAGCGCTTCGAACCAAAAAAAACATAAAACAGTTGTTGTTGTTGTTGTTGTTGTTGTTGTTGTTGTTGTTGTTGTTGTCTTCACATTAAAAACCTTTCCGTTCTCTCTGCTCAGTACCTTCTTCTGTCCGCACTATTATAGTCTAACACTTGACGGGGTCGATTCCCGTGGTCACAGGCTAACTTACCCAAAAAAAGGTATACGAAAATAAAATGGACCCGAAGGGTCCGCAAGCCAATAAAACAGTGAACACGCGAAAATATGTCCAAGAAAACTACTCGAGTATATCGATTTGGTGCCCGGACACCGTCTCGAAGCTCACCCTCACCATCCCGCCTGTGCGTATGGTCACCGATAAGTCTAAATAGTTCAGAATATATAGGGGCTACCCAGACAAGAGTAGTCACGCATGGTTCGCAACCTTTCCCGTGTTTGCCACGCGTGCGTTTGTTTTGGCAACAAGTGGAGAGATCGGTTCCACGTACCCCGTTATCCAAAGCCAGCATCGAAATGTGCCGAACGCCTTCGTCTAGTATGAGGTCTGAGTGAATCTCATCCGAGACGATCGTGAGATCGTGCCGCTCACAAAAGTCCCCGACCCTCAACAGCTCTTCCTCGGTGAAAACCCTCCCTGCCATTGCCACGACAACAACGCCCCACGCGAAGCAACAGGCGGTGCATCATCTTATCGGACTCACGCGCGTAATGAAGGCGACGCAATGAACCAGGTTTGGGCGCGGGTACAGGAATAAGATGTCACCCGCTGGAGAGAACCGGGGATGGCCGCGAGCTGTTTTCGAGGTCCGGCTCCATAGTCGTCCTCGACAGATCGGATGAAAAAGCCCCGTGAGCCGTACTACGTCGATGGCTATGCAGGCCCGGGTGCCGGGAAATGATCTGTTGTACCTATATGTGTTCGTGCAACGCCAACATTTGGCGGCGAGTGGGTTTTGGAGGTGCGCGCACGCTTCTACCATATATGCTACAGTACCCGATGATGTAAGCTATCCACATGGCCGTTGTGTAGTGCGTGACTTGTTTGTAATGGAAAAAATGGCGTTTTCTTCAACAGGTCTCGTGGTGCCATCTATAGCAAAGAAACCATTCTGCTTGACGGAAAAATGATGGACGGTGCATGAATAACGTGCATAGATGTGCAGCTCAAATGGGCTTCGCAGTGGCGGCGTGGGTGGTACAGCGTTGTTCTGGCAGCGTAAGCGAGAGCGGCAGCCCTAGCAGCATCACCAGCAGTAGCATGAAACCGAAAGTCGTGTGAGCGTGCGTGTGAACGGCATGGTCGCGCGAGCAGAACACCATAGAATTTGTCAGCTTCTTGAAGAATTCGACACTACTCTGTGCCATTGTTATGCCCCTATCCGATGCGACGGGCCTCCATCTGCCGCGCGCGGTTTGTCACATTTCATGATTCCACGGAACCACTACACGAGCAGCGCCAGCAAAGAAACAGCCACCCGATACACCCTTCCCACGAACCAGAAAACAAAAAAATCCATACCTACCCCCCCAACCACCAAGTACTTTCACTGCGGTGCCCCCTCTCGACGCTTCTGGCTCACCCACGGGATTGTACGGGTTGCACAGCATCAGCAGCGCGGTCTCTGGGTGCTTCCTCATGGCCTCTTCCATCCCGTTCCAGTCTAGGGTCCACCGCCCCCCGGCTGCGGCGACCAAGATGAACATCCAGAGGACAACACAAGGCAGCCACGGGAGCATCAACGGCAAGGGAGGGGCTTTACGAAGGAGACATGAACAACGCGAAATCTTCAAGAACGCACCACACGCGTGTGAACCTCTTGTCTTGGAAGAATAGGGGCAAGGCGGCTCCTCAAGCACTTGCGCTCCGCATCTCCCACTACTCCAAGTCGATCTGATGTTGTCCAGCTGGCAGCCGAAGTCCTCATCTTACATCTACAGGGGTAGAATATGCTGTTGCTGCGCGTCTGAACAACCCAAACAGGTATGGCAAACCCGGTCACCGTTTAATATATCTCTTCCGCACCGTGCCGGAAGCACAGGCAAAGACAACCCACCTCTGTCAGCAGGTACAAGAACGAGGCCTCGCCCGGTGTTCTTCGGCGACTTGAAAAAAGGAGGATAGCTGAGAGAGCGCACGCGTGCGCACACGAGGGAGTGTTTCGGAACAGCGCGTGCGGTTGTTAGGATACTCAGGAGGCAAGGGCAGGGCCAGAAACGTATGAACGAGGTCGCTTTGCTTCGAAAGTCACATCGTCATATGCAGGCGGAGGCGGCCCATCGAATCACAGCGTCGAGGACACCATTCCTGACAGGTGTCATCGACCCCATGCCTACAATCCCCTCGTTAGCTCAGCCGCAGCATGAGTGCACTCTCGTATTCTCTTCGACCAGGCCAAGCCGTGGACCCCATATTGTTGCCCGACGTATGCAGAGCCTGTGACCTGGGGAGTAGGTGGAAGTTGTCCCTCTCGCTCCTACTATCACCAGCGAAAACTCAAGGAACACCTTTATAAAACCCTCAAGAAGCACCTTCATAAGAGAAGACCCAAACGTTACTTCCAGCGCGACTACGACACGAAACAACGATGCGGGATTGTTGGGGTTTCGGGAAAAGGGACTTCGCAGCAGCTGCGGCAGTGACAAAATGCGTCAACGTGGTGTGCGTGCCATGGACACGAAGAACCAAGGAAACAATACCAAAGATGATAACATCTCTCCGAACTCAGGACATTCGTTTGAAACGGTTGGTGATGTATTCGTGGTATTCTTACGCATGGCTTCCTCTGCGTGTAGAGCGCTGTAGCAAACGATGATGGTGAGCGGCACTTCGGAACAGAACAACGCAGAGAGTCGCTTGGTGCTGCGTAGGGGATCTTTTTTGTTTACCCGTGCGCGACCTGACACGCAAGAAGAACTTATCATCCTAGCCACAAGAGCCGTCTGTCGACCACGCACTTGCCACGTACCACTGCGCATAAAGGGAAATCATTCCACATGAATTGTCTCAAAATCCGACTCAACATCGCCTCTCACCTAGGGGTCATAACCATGACACTCGCGGTCTCCGGGAGCATCATACACGCAGCGTGCATGCTTTGGATAGTTCCAGGGGTGAAAAACAGCCAGCTCTTGTCTCCCACATCTACCCCATGCATGTCCTGAATTTCAGTCGACCGAGGCATGCACGACAAAAATGAGTTTCTCGAACGTCCTCGCAAAAACGTGTACTTTTACGTCAAAAACAAACCCGCGGCAACAGAAAAATAATATCAGGCGCGTTTGAGGTGTCATCTTTCGATTACTCCAAAGGGTTTGGGATTGGTCGCCATGGACCCCAAGGAGAGGGGCACAGTCGCAGCCCTTCAAAATCCGACCTAAGAGAGAAGATTAAGATATCCACTTGTTTACATAGTGGCCGGGTGATTGCTTGAGAGGAGTCTACCCGAATACCCGACCCGCCTTGTAGTAGTTCATGACGGCCGTCTTGACTCCTTCCGTGGGAAAAGAGTACCCGAATATGCCGTGGTCGGCGCGCTTCTTGACGGCGTCGATGATGGCTGGCGACGTTTTCAAGTCCATGTCGGCCACCCAGAGGGGGATCACGTCCCTGCCGCCGTAGGCATCCAGTTTCAATGACCCTGAGGGCACGGGCGCGTTAGCCTGTGGAGTCGCTATGCAAAAGAGGCTTGTTGCCGCGGTTGGTCGAGTAGAGAAACGAACCGCTGTAACGGTAGGAGGCTGGGTGGTCGACAACGGTTGTCTGGCTACCACGCTACGATAAGCGGTGGCAAGCGCGGAACGCGTATACAGCCCCGCCGGGGTCCGGCCATGATCATACTCTCACCGGTGTTGGAGCGATCGATAGGAGTTTCGAAATCGAACGCATCCTGTCGTTCTCGTTCAGGCCCTCTTGCCGGGGGATTCGTTGCACTGCGGCCCATCTCTCCTGTGCTGCGCATGCGGCGTGCGGACGAAGGCGACGATGACGGGGTTGCTGGCGACCTGATGCGCACACCGCTGCTCACTCGGAAGCCCACGACGTGCCTCGTAAGCAATGCGAGCGACGTCATGGTTGATGCAGCAGGACGGATGCGCATGATACGGAGGGTGTCGCGGGCCTCTCTCTCCCGGTCGCGTCCTTGCTTGTCCCAGGGAGGTGCGATTGCCCTGCAACATTCAAAGAGCAGATGCATAGGTTCAACTTACAGTAATTGGGAGTCGGGCCGTGGTACGCACTGTCGCAGGTGACGTAACACATCACACCCCCCTGGATCGATTTTCACGGCTCCATTACTCCAGTACCAAGAGGATGTACAACTCAAACGAGATATTTTCGGAAAGCTCTCGAGGAGACGGTTCCGACGCCGCTAGTTTCGGCACCCTCACTCTTGGTGCCAGCGAGCTTTACAAAATCAGCCAGGGGGCGTGGTATCTTGTGTAGCCTACGGTATCAAGATGAAATCTCCGCTGTGTATACAGTAGTTGCCTCCCTTTCAAACCTAAAAGACTGCTGCGATCAAGTCACCATTATCATGTCCTCAGAATTTTTTTCACAGAAGACTTGTGGACATGCACACTTGGCACACTTGCACACCTGCGGGTGCACCGTCCGTGTCTGCACAAGAGCGACATTTCACAGCAGAAATCCGCGACATGATTCCCCAGAGCAGACCATGTCCGTGCTCATTATGTATCAGGAATGATACCGGCTTGCGTCACACACTGCTGCAACGCCTACGTTATTTCAGTCAGTTTGTCATCTCACCGTTGCTGGACCTATCCACTATCCACCAGAGAGAAGTGTGAGCTGCGCCTGCTCGTTGCAGGGTTGCAGGTTGCCGGATGGATCACACGGGATCCCCCCGCCCAGTAGACCCCTATGTATTTCCCATCTGTAGTGCCCCGTCTATGCGACAGGGGGGGGAAGGCATCTCACACAACGAACGAAGAGAGCAACAAGAGACCATCCCTCACCTAGTGCCGGGCTGGTGGATCGGACTCCGTGCAAGGTTAGACAACACCCTGAAAACCCACACGACAACGCAAGTTTAGGTTGATGTCGGTCAGCCTCAAACAACAAGGATAATAAAGTCGTGGACACCCACCTGCCTAACCTGCCTCGTCCTCCTGCTCATTTCTCTCTCTTGTGTGTCTGATCTTGTTCGACACACACACACGGATTTTTGCACCAGCAGATGGCCGACTGGGCAGCAGCGGCTGCGGCATGGGCTCAATCCGGGGAAGGAGAGAAGACACAGTTCGTGCCTCCACCGCACCCTCCGCCTCCAAAAGTTGAGCAACAACAGCCCGGAGCATGGGGTGGCGCCGACCAACAGCAATTGTGGATGCCGCCGCACCAGATGGACCATGCTGCCGCATCCGCTCACCAAGGACATCAGCAGCACGGCTTTGGAGCTGTTCCAGGAGGCTCAGATCCAATGGGAGGGGGGGGTCACCAAGGATTCGGACAAGAAGGTATGAGAGTTGTTGGGGGCGGGATGCCAGCTGTCGTCCTGGTGCTGCACCATTTTGCTCCGGTCAGCTTGCTGCAATTTTTAGGTCCACGGTGTGAAGTCTACAATATCTGCTGTCCCAGAATCTGTCGACCCTCGTTGTGACCTATGGTTCCGGATCGTGCATGGGTTTCCTTCCGTTGCCAACGAGGAAAGACGCTGGGGTGGGGTCTACTCCAACGCCATGTGTTCACGTAGGTCTCATCCATTGCTTGACGCTCTGATCAATCTAGATGCCTAGAGTGCATTTTAGGTTGCTTTGGACACGACCCGCCCCAGAAGATATCCACCGACTCCAGAATACAAACGTTAATGTTGTGTTAGCCTCCGACTTCATCCGACCGCCGTGTTGATGTTTGCATGCATCTTGCCCTCGCTCGTTCCCCGCATGCTTTCAAAAATGGAACATGGCTTTTGGTCTCCAAGGCTTCGGTCTTCAAGTTTTTAAGTGACAGCGAGGCTTGAACCCCGGCCGGACACTGCACTCAACCACCCCCTCGTCCCCGGGCACCCTTTTGGGAATTGCTTTGCCCCTCCTTCCTCCCATGTGCGGTTGTTGTCGCCTCCTAAACACATACCCAGGCGTACCGCACACGGCCCCCCCGCTGCCGCCGCCTTCGATGCAGCCCCCGTTCCCTCCCGCTGCCTCCTCGAACGTAGCTGAGCAGGGACAGTTTTTTCATGAACAAGGTGAGGTGCAGTAGTAGTGGGTGGCTTTTTTTTTTCATGATTGCAATTCGTGCGTGTGTCAGAAAGCTCTACAGGTGAGTTTGTGCCTGGGGCGGATATTTAGCTCTCGACGAGACGGTGCGATGTCGACACTACTGCTGTCACTCCTGTGTTTGTGCAGAGCAACCAAGCATGGCAAGTCGGTGCTGGGGTGCATGGTGTCTTTTGCGGCCTACGATAACATTGCCAACGATTCGATGTTATGCAATGATGATATCGTCAAGTAACGTACTGTTGAAACTACAACACGCGAGGCCAAGCCGTTGTGGCCCTGGTGTCTCCTTGCGTGTTGATATTGGTCGGCTGATTCGGTTTTTGGCAACCAACCCGCTTACGCTTTGTATCACGGTCCAGTCCGGCATTGTAGTTTTCGTGGCAAACCTTATAACATCCTGACATTCAAGTGAAAAGAGCTGCTGCGGCCGTCGTTGTTGGAACGTGCCACACCCCGCCGTGGGTGCCTGTGTATCGGTCAGATGTCAATAGTCTTGCCTAATCCCCCATCAGTCGTTGAGACGAAAGCCCAGGAATAGTACTATCTAAATTGAATGATCTATCTGCAGTGGAAATTCCGAGTGACCTACAACTTGTTGGTGGCAATGAAGTGGCCCCGAATAAAATATATGGATATATGCAGGGGGATACAATGGTTTATTTTGACTGGAACGACTCGGCGTGCCGTCCGTCGGTGTGCCGTCGAAACGGATCCGTCCGTACTTCTTACTCAAACGCAGCGCCTGTTGTTCATCCTTTTTGCTCCCATCGCCGTTCACTTCGGAAGGTTGGGCGGCGGCCGGAGGCTATCCGGCACCCCCCCTCCCCCCGCCTCCCGGCCAACCGCCTGCGCCAGGGCCAGGGCCAGGAAGCATGGGCAGTCAGATGGGATCTCAAATGAACGGTGGCCAAGTGGCGGATCAAATAGGACACTACATGGGGGGGCAAATGGGCGGGCACATGGGAGGCATGGGCGGGCCAATGGCACCAATGAGCGAGATGGGCGGAGGGCAGCAGCAGCAACAGCAGCAGCAGCAGCAACAGCAGCAGCAGCAGCAACAGCAGCAGCAGCACGCAATGGAAGCATACCAAGGGTCGCCTGTTGGGAACCCTCTCCACCCGGCAGCGATGGCAAGCCCGATGACTGGCATGGGCGGGGGGATGGGCCACGGCAACATGGGTGGTAGTGCCGGCATGAACGGCTCCATGATGGGGGGGATGCAGGGAGGGATGGGGGGCGGCAGCGGTGGCGGTGCGTTCCTTGCCGGCCCTGCGGCAGTACCGCAACGACCGGCGAAAAAGGTGCCCGACTGGTTGGTTCAGACCCTGAAAGAAAAGGAAAAGCTGGCAGAGAAGCAGAAAAAGAAGGAAGGCGCATCCCTGTCGACGGATGTGGCTACAGCTCTCTCTAGCGGGGCCGGCAACATCAGCGGGTACAACCTCGTCCACTCCCCTTCCCCGTCGCCCCCTGACTCCCCGTCCGCCCGACGAACCAAGCCGAGCTGGCAGGAAGACGACAGCGACGACGATTCCGCAGACGAAGCGTCGCCCAAGAGGGCAAACCGAGACAAGAGGGCATCAAACGGGAGCGCCGCAGACGGCAGCGCAGGAGCTGGCACCCGCAACGGCAGCGCCAAGCCGTCCGGCATTCTGAAGAAGGGCGGCACCAAGCAGCGGGGGGCAGTGGGCGGCCTGGACAGGAACGGGGACGACGCTACCGCGGAGGCGGACACGGCACCTTTGGTGATGGATGACGAGACCAGGGCGTCGTTCGACCGAGAGATTCGACGGCTGCTGACGCATCTGCTGAAGGTGGGGACGGCCAACATCATCCGCGAAGTGGCTTCCTCCGCATTGGAGGAGGCTCAGGATTCCGCTGCCGCTGCCGCCTCGCCGCAGGCCCGGCAGCAGCAGCAGCAGCAGCAGCCGAGAGTCAGACGGAAGGAGCAGCGAGAGCAAAAGAAAGCCGTTGGGGCTCTCATCGGCGGGTACGGGTCCGAGTCTCCCTCCGAGAGCGAGGGCGACGCTTCCCCTCCGCCGCCTGCCGCTGCGCCCGCGCCGGCCACCACCGTTTCTGCCGACGCCAGCGCGGCGGCGGCCCCCCCTCCTGCTGTTGAGAAGAGGGCCCATGTTAAGGTCGGCGGGAAGTGGCCGCTCCCTTCGTGGGCGGACCCGCCTCACGAGGCGCCGATTCCCGAAGGGCTGTCCATCGTCGTGGAAACGATAGGGCCCGATCTGGAACGGGTGAAAACACAGGAGCTGTCTTTCAGCACGACGGTGATGGGCAGGTTCGAGGAGCAGTGCGGGTTCGTCGTGGAGGACGCTTCTGCCTCTCGGTGCCACGCGGCGATCCTGTGAGTGTTCCCGTGTCGGGTTGGCTCTAGAGTTGGTTGAGCTTCGTCAAGGCGGTTGTTGCTGTGTCGCAGGGTAGGCGGTCGAATTCCTGTTGTAATTTCACCGAGGGCGTTTCGAGCACCAACCGGAGTAATTATTTGCCATGGGTTTCGACAGCATCTGCGGCGTTCTCTCTCCGGCATGTCCGAGAAAGGGCGTGTGGGCTGGACATTGCAGGGACCAACCCGTCGCTAGGAATTTCTCCTATCGCGCACACTAACCCGTTCATAATCTCCATAATCTGCTCGCCTGCTCGACCAGTCACACGAACGTCCCGGAAATGATTCAATTTTTTTTGTGTTATCTTTCCCCTCCGCCATCAACCTCCCCCGCCCGTTGCTCCCGCTTCTCTCCCCGCTTCTCTCTCAGCGCCTCGGGAAAAGACGTTTTCGTGGTAGACGTTTTCTCCGCGAACGGCACAGCCGTGAACGGTAAGAAAATTCAGCCGGGCGTCCTCCACGCTCTGTCTGCGGGCGGTGTGCTGACGCTGGGAACGCGCAATCAATCTTTCCGCGTGATAGTGCGGTCGACGCCGCCCCCCCGCCGCCAAGACCCACGATCGCCGATCGCCTCCGCGAACGTTGCGTCGCCTTCGCCCGCGGGTGGATCTGCCCAACCGCCCAAGGTCTCCGACACCCCACCCAAGTTCAAGCAAGACCTGGTGGCCCTGGCGGCTACGATAGCTGCGAGAATCAACACGAAGTCGACCGCTGCCACCGCCACCGTTTCGCCGGAGGCGGAAAAGGCCACAGAGAAGGAAAAGAAGGGGGCCGAGCAGGAGAAAAGGAAGGAGAAGGCGACGGACGCCACCAACCGCGCTCGGCGCAGCAGGAGAAGCAGAAGCAGCAGCCGCAGGAGAAGCAGCAGCAGCAGCAGCAGCAGCAGCAGCAGCAGCAGCAGCAGCAGCGGGAATAGCAGCAGCAGCAGAAGCAGAAGCAGAAGCCGGAGCAGGCCTCGTGAGCGCGACGGACAGCGTCGAGGCCACCGAAAGGGCAAAGATGACGGTCGTAGTGCCAGCAAGGAGAGGGACCAGAGGAGAGGGAGAGGGGGGAGAAGGAACGGTGCAAGCCGATCCCGGTCCCGTTCGCGCTCTCCGCCATCGACAAAGAGACATGAGAAGGACAGCAGGGATGGCAGCCGCAGTGGCAAGGGAGGAAGGAAGAGGAACAGGAGCGAGGCGAGTCTCGCAAGCCGCAGCCGCAGCCGTGAGAGGTACGTTGTAGGCGGGTGTATGCATGAAACATGTATTTGGTCGGTTTTCGTTGAGGCGGTCGAAATTGGTGGTAGCCTGACTGAGCGGCAATGTGAGTTGGGCGGTGCGGTGGCTCGATGTGCCACACCTCCCGATCATTTTCCATGATTTATTATTACCACCCATCATGTCAGGGCAATATCCATCAGGAAATCACGACATGTGTTGTCGTGTAGCCTTTAATCCCTCTGGAATGAAGATGCCTCCATGCACGGCTGAGTGTATGACAGCAATATGCTGTGTGCCTCACTCCCCACCTATGTCGTCGGGCGTGACCTAACCCTGCAACACCTTGCAACGCCCCTTCCTCTTGGTCGTGGTCATGGACCGCCGCCGTAGGGTTTCGAAGAGCCGAAGAAACGGAAAGAGGGAGAGCAGCAAAGAGTGGAGAGGCAGGAGAAGCCGAAGCGTCAGTCGGAGCCGCGAGCGTAAGGACAATAAGGCCGCGAAGGATCGTGCCGCCGGTGGGAATAGTCGGGAGAGGACCAGGCGGAGAGAGAAGGACCGCAGCCGCTCACGCAGCCCGAGCAACAGCCGTGGAGGGCCTAGTGGAACGATAAGAAAAACCTCTGATCGTGGGCGGCGGGACGCAAAGAGGGCGGCAAGCAGGAGCAGGAGCCGAAGCCGCACCCGCAGAGACCCTTCCAAAGAACGTTCTTCGCGGAGCAAGAAGTCGAGCGAGGGCGGCAGAGCCAAGAGTCAGGCAAACGGAAAAGGAGCTGCTGCGAAGGAGAAGGGGACGGAGGGTGGTCGTGGCGAAAGCCGTACCAGCAAGGAAGCAAGCTCGACAGCCGCGGTTGGGAGCCGTGACGAAACGGTAGGCAAAGGTGCCAAGAGTACGCCCTCCGAGCGAGCGAAGAGCACCAACGGCGAGGGTGCAAAAGACCGCACGAAGGAGTCTGGGAGTGGCAAAGACGGCACCAACAAAGGCAACAAGTCTCCAGAGGTGAGCCGAGTTCGCGGCAGCGGCAGTCCGAGGGGGAGCAGCAAGTCCGGGACGAGCAAGAAAGCCGTCAAGAAAGCATCGGACACGAGGCCTGCGGCGAAAATCGGGCGGGATAGCAAGAAAAGCACCAAGGGAAAGACAAGCGAGGATGACAAGGGAAGCCGTAGCAGAAGCAGGTCGCCTTCCGGCAAACGCACAGAGCGCCGACGTAAGGCTAGGTCGCCGTCGCGCGAAGAAAAGAAAGGCGGCAGCGGAAAGAGCTCACGGAGGAAGTCGTGATAGTCTCTAGGCTTTGGTTATATCGCTTGATTTCTGGTCGCATTATGTTGTCGTGACCCATGAAGGACGGCAGGCAACTCCTATTCCTAGGAATCTTCCGCCAGATTTTGTTTACTTGAGTAGAGCTGCGTATAGTTGTGTACACTTATTTGTGTAGAAGGAATAGGAGGGGTGTATGCGTGTTGGTTACTGGGTGGCAGCTCCATCCTAATGTTCATTTTTTTTTACGAACGAGCTTTTTTATTTTATGTTTTCGTCTCCGCGGCGCCTGCTTGCGGGTGAACCCGGAGTTGGTACAAGAGGCCACCGGCAGACCCAAGCGTGTAACATCTTGATCCCCGTCCAACTCGTGTTTTGTACACTCATGCACATCGCACGAACACTGCGTTGAAAATATTTCGACAACTCGGCAGGTAGTAGTAGTAGGCAGCAAACATGCCTCTGCCAGGCCGCTGTGTGTATGTCCCCTTCGCCCCGCGCCCTCCCCACCCCCATCCACTGCCCGCCTTTTCCCCAGGCTCGCCAAATCGTTCTCGTACCCCCTCACTGATGTGCGGTATATAGCTCAACACACTACTGCTGCCCATGGCAATATAGAGTTTTTTGCCGACCAGGTGCACAGCGAAGGGCATCCCTCGAAGTTGGATGAAACAGAGCACACCCACCCAATTCTGCGGGCCCCCCATGTCCCCCACCCCCTACGGGAGCACGCCATCCACGTCTCGCCCGCCTCGCTCGCTGCGCTGACCGCTGACAAAGTACACACCACCGTTGACTCGAGAGACAGCAGGAACGAAACAGACGCAAGTACCGAAAGAAAAACACACAGAGATATGGGCCGCTCACGACGTTCTGCTCCCGCACGCCGGCCGGCGCCACGAAGGTAAGACTAAGAAGCGGCGAAACGTCTGCCCTCCGTAGCCGATAGAAAGGGTCCCGACTGGGAAGGGGCAGACAAGACGAAAGCGACTCTGCCCGTCTTCTTGTTGCGACGACCCTGACAATGTACCTCAACTCTCGCTCGGTGATAGGAAAGGTGTCAGCGTTTAGTAAGTTGTTTCTGGCGGTATGCGGATTATTTTCTTTGTAACGATGCACACATTTCACGTTCGTGGCCAGGTGATCAATGTGCCGCCGTGCCGTTGAACCCCGCAGTCAACTCGACGCCACGATCTGTAGAGAATGGGCCATGGTCACGCCCGGGCTTCCCTTCAAAGCACATCTTTAAATTCGCGTCGATAGGGTGAATGGTTGCTGCGGAGCTGGACAAGAAACTTCCCGCCTCTATCCATACCATGTAGTTGTATGTGTTGGACGTGCGCGTTGAACCTGTGCCCTCTCATTTTTAAAGAGAGGCATGATGTGTGAGCATCGATCTAGAAGGATGACACGCGTCCAGAAGGGTGGACAACCGCGATTTGAACCGCATGGGCGGGGATGAGATTGATTACCTACAACAGAATATGACAGTCCTCGTGGACCGAATGGTCAGCTTAGACCTCATGGAATGGTACGCCTGGATGTGCAAGCTTACCATGCGGTCCATGAGGCCGTGATGCTCTGGGTAGTCAATCTCGCCCCCAACCACGCGGTCCAATTTCGCCGTCGACCACATTCTGGACGCTCGTCAATCTCACGGTGTCCAGTTCGCAGTCGAACACCTTTTGGACGGTCTGCCACAGCACATCACGGCCCTCATGGAGCGAATGGTATACTAGACTAGGGCTTGCCGTCCACCGTGCTGGTCAAACGTCTTGCGAAGGGCGAACCTCGCGGTTGGCCCGAGCTGTCAGCTGGGCTCTTCGCCGATAGGCCCGTGACTACAGTTCGTGTAGGAGTCCTCAAGTTTGTCTGGTGGTGGTCACAGAGCACCGAGTACACAACAACAGCAGTGCAATAATACAAATCTCAATGTTCTCGCGGATACGTTTTTTCGACGTGAATGTCACCCGTCGCAGCAGGCTACATCTTCTCTGGAGCTCTTGAATTCCATTTCTTGCAGCTGCTAGGCAATCGGCAAGAAACATACGATGAAGACTGATGCGCCGATTATCTCCAGTCCTGTTGGCTTGAACCCGTATTGACGTCGTTTTTGCATATCGTGCTGCGTAGCCATCCTTACAACACCTACGCGGAGGAACTAGATTGACCCACCCAATGTTCCAGACAGCTCAAGCGCAGCAGTCTCCAGTGTAAGCATTGGTAGTTCAAGTATGCCTGTCGGCGATGCAGCATCGTAACCAACGTCAGCAGCTACACGAAGCGGAGGAAGTAGACCTCCACAGTAGTAGCCCTCGTGTCTGCAAGACCAGCTTCTCTCCCATACCACAACCCTCATCTCCGGCGTGTGGTTGTGGACCGCAAATGTCGAGGCAAGTGTCGACGGAAGGGCAACACTAGAAACCCGAGCCGCAGCCCGCTACTTCTAAGTTGATGCTTCCACGGAAATCACGTGATTCCATGCACCTTGCTCTCCTTTTGTGACGTCATCGAGAGACGGTGCTAGATGTTTGTATTCGCTGCTACTGCGTGTGTTTGTTTCGCTCTCTTTTGTACAACTATAACACGTCATCCCGGCTCTCTCTTTCTCTCTTGACATGCTTCCTCCGTTCTTCCATCCATGTTACGCCTTGGTTTTTCCGTTATCCGTCCCCGATCTGCAAAAATCGGCTGTGCGTTCTGCGTGCGGTTTCCAATATGTGGGCACACTCGCCACTATGCCGTTGTAGTGCGCCGCCGGCTCGCGCCCCGCCTGCCCAGCCCCCGGCTCAGCAGCAGAGCGGAGGCGGCGGCATGCTCGCGGGAATGGCAAGCACCATGGCGCAGGGTTTCGCGTTCGGCACGGGATCGTCGATCGCACACAGGTATGCGGTGTCTGTCTCTCACTAGTCTGCTCTATGGTCAGTCAAAGCAGCATTAAGTGAATGGCAAGCACACCTACGTTGGGTATGTTTCGCCCCGAGAAAGTTTTTGGTGCCGACGGTTGGGGTCAGATTCTCGTTGTCAGTATCGGTTTCGTTGGAGGTTCCGAAGCCACCTAGCTATTACAGGCGTGCCCGTACCGCCCCGGTAGTGGCGGTCGGGGTTGAGAGACACAATCTTTGTGGTTGTTTCCATTGTGTGGGATTGGTTTTCGGATCAACGTCGCCGCGGACGACACACCACTGATAAAATGGGTGGGTGTAAGGGTTCGTACAACACAGGTATCAAGAGCGTGTCGAACAGGGTAGGCACCAAGCTGCTCGCATAGTGGCAGGCGAAATCGTAAGCTGGAGAGAGATGGATCGTCCATGTTCTGGCCGCCGGTGACCAGAAAGTTGTTGCCCAACAGCGGTAGTCGATGGCAGTTGATATACAGAACACTGTAATACCCGTGCGTTTGTAAGTATTCACCGCTTCCCGGACTGAATGATGATGCGCTCTACTGGCATACGCAGGGCCGTTGGTGCGGTAATGGGAGGTGGCGGCTCTTCGGCGCCCGTGGAGCAAGCTCAGGAGCAAGCGGTGAGTATTGTCATGTCCATGCCCCTGTAGGCACTGAGTGTGCCCCCCCCCATCCCCATGTTGTTTTCGGTCTGAACCAAGCTTTCTGTCGCCAACGCCAACCCCACGGCAACATCCGCCGGTCGAGGTTTGGTTGATGGAGGGTCAATGATCACCTCGAAGCTGTCCGGCCTATGTATCCGGTGCCCCCCCCCCCCCCCCCCCCCCCATTTGGGAAAAATTTGGGCAATGTGTTTTTCGTTTTAACCCAGCTTTTTGTTGCCCCCCCCAAACCCCCCGGGAAATTCCCCCGGTCAAGTTTTTGTT